CGATAATTGCAGGTGAAAGTTAAAGGATGGTTTAAATAACTTTTCCCTTTCCCCCAATTTAAATGGGTCGGATTGTTCATTTTTTGTTCATTTTTTTTTAACAAACCCATACATGCTATGCTAACATGATCAATCAATCACAATTTATGCTAACATGATCAATCAATCACAGCTGGATTTGCACGACGCATAAGAAATAAACCATGGTTTCAAAAGTGCACTTTATAGAATCTGCTTGTTTCTACTGTAGAAAGTTAGCATCTACCCCTTCTAGAAGAATGAAATATTTTGGGAAATATTAAAAAAAGGCAGAATATTATATTTCCCCAAAAGGAGAAACATGCTCTTGGAAAGCAGCCACCTTTCTTAATAGCCCCAGCAGGACTGGGCCAGCATATCTACAAGACAAAAAACCTTCAGCTCCAGGGTGATGGGATTAAGACATGACCCGAGGACATAATAGGATTAGCCCTCAACCATCTAGCAGCAGAGCTTACCACATGGCACAACAAGCCCATTCATTGCATCACCCAGCAAGCTTCAACCAAGCCTGGAACTCAGACAGCCTACAAAGTTAACAGTGACCCTCTACAACAACCAATAGAATAGATTTCTTGCACAGGAACAGGAAGCTCAAGGGCTAGGCTCAACAGAGGGTATAAATAACCCTCACTCTCCACTCCATGTGGTCAGCTGCCCACAACCTCAAACCCATGTGGTCTTGTTCACCACTAAACATCTTTCCAATCAGCCTCCATGTTTCCAGTGTTTTTCTCCCCACTTGGAACTGAACCAGATGGCCTTTTCTTCCAACACTGCTAAAATCTACGCTATAATTCATGGCTACACATCATCTGATCTCTTCCTAATGAGAGATTATTATTCCTAATAATAACATTGTCAAGAACTGTTTTGTCGGAATAACACTGGGAGGGAAGAGACATAAGACCGCTGGACCAAAACCACTGTGGATTAGGCTGAAGCCAAAGCAAATAGGAAAAAATGTTATTTAGCTTTCAATGGTCATATTTTTCTGCTGTCTTTTCTCCTCTCTCTCTCTCTTTCTTTTGACCAGCAGATAATTGGGAAAAGCATCTCGCCAGAAACCTGCTTATATTAACTATATAGTCCAGTGTTCCTTAATCTCAGCAATTTTAAATTGTATGGACTTCGACTCCCAGAATTCAGCAAAATGATAAAGGTCCTGCACAAAATCAGAAACGTTCCTTCTCAATTACTTCTGAAGTGAGCACAACCCTAACATAATTCTTCCTTAGCCTGAAACTTAGCCAAGTCTTATCAACCTTGATTGGCAGGTCCCCGGTGTCACAGATGGAAGTTTTTCATATCATCTGCTACCTTAATTATTTTTAAACTAGAGATTCTGGGAGTTTCGTTCTGGAATCATGCCTGTGCCAAGCAGGTGCTTTGAGCTGTTGCCAATCTGCAACAAAATTCGAAGACTGAAATCTGATAGACAATATTTTGATGTGCATAAATTGGCAGGATAAATCTAGGAATGGTTATACACATTATTTGCATGGGACTACTAAGACTACATACACAAAAAAACCCACGCTGCCAAATAAAACAGCAGGATGTAAAATTTGTTTCCTGTATAAGGAGGACTTCGATCTTCCATAATATAAATGTAAATCTATATAAATTTTAGGTTGGGAATTTGGGAATGGAATTAAAGATATATCCAGCACATATTGCCCCCAACACACATCTGTATCTATGAAAATCTTTCTACAGTATCAGGAAAAGTTTAAAAATGGCAGAGGACCTCAGAACAAGTAGTCCTCAACTTACAACAGTTCATTTAAGGACCATTCGAAGTTACAACAGCACTGGAAAAAATGACTTATCACCGTTTTTCACACTTATGACCTTTGTAGCATCCCTACGATCATGTGATAAAAAAAAAATCAGACACTTGGCAACTGATTCATATTTATGACGGTTGTAGTGTCCCGGGGTCACATGATCCCCTTTTGCGACCTTCTGACAAGCAAAGTTAATGGGGAAGCCAGATTCCCTTAATCACCATGTTACCAGCTGCAGTGATTCACTTAATAAATGTGGCAAGCAAGGTTGTAAAACGGGGCAAAACTCACTTAACAACTCACTTAACAACTCTCAATTAGCAACAGAAATGTTGGGTTCAATTGTGGTCATAAGTCAAGGACTCCCTGTACTACATTTAATAGTGACTGGAAATCCTTCTGAACTTTTTGCTGAAAAACATGGAATGTATGATTTCGGAATTTCCTGATTAAAAGGGTAGATTATGGAAAGAAACTTATATGGAACCTTTAAAGAGATAAGAATAAAATATAAATGTACTTATTATTGCTGTTAAGATTAGAAACTACTTACCGTATATACTCGAGTATAAGCCGAGTTTTTCAGCCCATTTTTTGTGCTGAAAAAATTCCCCTCGGCTCATACTCGAGTCAGATTCCCCTCTGAAAAAAAAATGGTGTGGAGTCGCTTCCACCGGAGCGGCCCCAGTCCCGCCGCCTCGGGAAGGGAAAGGCAAAGCGCTTTTTGCCTTTCCCTTCCCGGCTGGGGCTGTTGGGAGTCGCCGCCGCCTGC